GGCGGAGCTAGACACTCAGCAGTCCGTTGATTGGTCGAAAGAATTGTCACTTCTTGTGAGACAGCTGCAATAAAGGACAAACACAAAACACACCATGTTTAAATATCCTGTGGTATTTTTAGACTAATGTCAACATTAACCCAGTTGTTACGCCGCTACACAAACCCACAGCTAAATGCTATCCTTGCGCCTGACTCTAGGGCCAGTGAGCCTGTAACTTAATGCCTCTCCTTACTTGTTGCGTAAACATGAAGGTGTATCCTGCCTTACCTGAAAGTGTTTTTTTTCACTCAGGATTTTGATTTGAGTTATTTTTTTACACAACTTACATGCACTTCCTTTGTTTAAAATGTGCACCTTCACTTTTTACAATACAATGTCTTTGTACTGGGTTGCGTTCTTCTTCGTTTAATTTATTGGCAGGGAGATGCAGCAAGAAGACAAACAGAGCTGCAGCAACAACAACAACAATGAATAAGACAGATTTAAAAATACAAAGTCAGTAATAATGGAAAAGGATTAGCAGTATTAGAAGCAACAGACCTATCACAGATCAATGGGTGGGACCTCACTCCCAGAATCCAAAAGCAATGGCCACCATCTTGCTTGGTAGCTATGCTATCAGGCTCTTGGGAGAAAGCTGATAATGTTGAAAAAAGTATGTTTCAACTTCAAACTGATATGGATGAAGGGGATTTTGAAGGTCTTGTGCTCGAATCGGATGTTCGTGGCTATCTCTACAATATACATATATATATATATATATATATATATATACGAGCAGTTGAGATAGATGGAGGAACAGGAGGCAGCTGCTGTGCATTCTGGGAGTTGTTGTCTTTCATCCACATGAGCCAAAAAGACACTTACTGCCTTTTCTCTGTCAAAAAGGCACCAACTTCAAAATGTATTTCACACAGATTCATGTTTCAACCAGTGAAGTATCCCTTTTAACATTAGCAACAACTAAACTGTACTGAACCAAATCGGACCACTTTGTGGAAAGTATGGTTCAATCTCCTCACAAACATGTACACTTAACGAGGACAATTTCAAATGATGTGCTTCAAGAGGAGATCTGCAAAATAACAAGAAATACCACCTTGTCTACGAGGGCCCTAACATCAACATAAAGCAAAAGTTCCTCACAGGAGCTTTGACACGTCGAAGAGTTTAATCAAACATGTTTACTTTTTCATCACATTCATATCAGTTAAAACTACGCCCAGTACAGCAGGAGGCAGACGTGCAGCTCCCCCTAAACATGTTTTATACTGTACGTTAAGAAAAAATAGGCCCCAATTCATTTGTTATTTTTTCGCATGAATAAGCACATTGTTGCAAATCACCAAGGAGCATCTGCTGACAGATTATGATGTCGAAAGGGGGTCAGGTGACCCAGAAGCTGGACCCGGTTTTAGACGAGGGGAGGGAGGGAGGGAGGGCTGCAGTGTGGAGCCTCGGTCTTTACAGACATGAGCTGCAGTTAGTGTGGTACATGTGGTAATAAAACATCAAGAGCTGGTTGTTGTAATCTAGATTCTAGTAACAGAAACACATTGCATTGATCACTAGGAAAACCTGAAGCTGATAATAGAAGAAATACTCAGTGTTCATTTTTTATGCAGCCTGAACGCTGCTGCAGGTTTCAGACGACAGCACTACATTAAGCAGGAAGTTGTGTACACACCAGTTTGATGAAATCTGTGGTGAACTTTAAAAACAAGTTGCTACACCTACCATTTCACAACATCAGATCAAAGTATGGTGGATGAAACAGATGTTGCAGAATCATGGGCAGCCTGGTTTTTATCCAAAGGAGAATAAAGACATGTCACCCACTTTTCTCCGCCACGTTGACTCACCCTTTATCACCCTTTATCACCCTTTCACTTGACTTTGTGCCTTTTTTTTCCTGCTTTTTTTTTCTAAATCCAGGACCCAGCCTTGTTGAATGGGAAAGTGACTCTGCATCATGCAAAAGCTGGAGCAGTCTTAGCCCGACAGGGAGACCAGGTATGTACCAGGCATACGGACTTAAAGAGGGTAATCTGTCTCCCTTTAGCTGTATTCTGCCCCCTGAAGGCAGAGTGCAGTTACTGCAGGACAATACAGTTAAGAAAAAAAGTGTTTTTAAGGTTTCAAGCTGACAGGTTCACAGTATAACAGAGAAATGCTGCAATGCTTTAATTTAGCTAATCCGGATAGTGATTTATGCTGCAAAAAATCTCAGCATAGAACTCAAACAATATCAAAAATATGTACGACTACTTCACTCCATATAACGACACTGCAGCCGGAACATATCCGGCGCGATGATGTTTAATGCCCCCAACAACCGCACTCTACTTTCATTTAGTCAGTTGTTAGCAACCGCCTTATAAAGGACATGTAACAACTTCAAATTTCACCAGCGAGGGTATTCCCTAACGTGTTTAATATTGTAAAATAGAAAATCTCTTATGCTTGTGTTAACCGCAGACCTTATTTCAGGCTTCTAAAAAAAAAAAACATTGAGTTTGACCCCATGGCGCTACAATGCTAACTGACCTCCTGGTTTAAGAACTTGTTCCCATGGCGCCCCATAAGTTGTTGCAATGAGATTCTGCAAACATGTTCCAGAAGTTATGTAAGATAACTGAATGAATGTTAGATAATACAGTTAATCAGTAACAGCGTCGGAGAAAACCACAAGAACATTTTGTTTAAAGAGGACATATTATCCCCCTTCTCCATCTTTTAAAACAGTCCCCTGTGGTCTAAATGAAACATCTGTGCTGTGCTTTGGTCAAAATATAACATGAATCAAGCACCAGAGGAGGTTTGTGACCCTGTATAAACCAGCTCTCTCAGAATGCTCCATTTTGGTGTGTGTGTCTCTTTAAATGTAATGAGCCCCCCCTGAGTTTTCCCCGTAGGAATCACTCCTCTGTAGAGAGAATAAAAATGGCCAACCTGTGCAAAGTTTTCTTCAAGGCTGGGGGTGGAGTCCATGGGTGGAGATTCCAGGGGAGGGGAGGGGATCTATTTTTTTTACCAGAATCCCACTGTGACATCACAAGGAGAGCACATTTGAAACGGAGCATTTTTCTCTGTGTTGTACGACTTATGCAGACCACAAACAAAAGACTGGATGGGTTTATTTCACATTTTGTGGGTCAGTAGACACTCAGGTTAACCAAATATATGTTCAGAAACACTGTACAAGTGGATTTCTCTTCATATGTCCCCTTTAGGGTGGCAGTAGCTCAGTCTGTAGGGACTTGGGTTGGGAACCGGAGGGTCACCAGTTCAAGTCCAGGTGCGGACCAACTATAGAAGTTTGTCTGGTAGCTGGAGAGGTGCCAGATCACCAAACCCCCTACCCACCATCAGCTCAGGAGCGCCTGCTATGGGCCGTCACTCTGGCTTCTCTCATTTAGTGCATGTCCATATGATCCTGTTTCTGCGTGTGTGTGTATATTTCAGCCTATGTTTGTGTTCATGACTTACAGAGTGTAAAAACTGAAATTTCCCCTTGCGGGGATCAATAAAAGTAAATCTTAAGTTACCTTTTAGTCTTCAAATATACAAAGTGTAGCACCGACATTTCCCCCAGGAGGAATGAAACTTGGAGCATCCCGCTCTGTTTCTATCTGTTGTCTCCATGTCTTTCTCCCTTGCAGGACGTGAGTCTGCACTTTGTCTTGTCCGGTTGTCTGCACGTCTACCAGCGGATGATTAACAAGCAGGAAGCCGTGTGCTTATTTGTGACCCACCCGGGGGAGATGGTGGGGCAGCTCGCTGTGCTGACGGGAGAGCCCCTCATCTTCACCATCAAGGCCGTCAGAGACTGTACTTTCCTCAAGATCTCCAAGTCGGATTTCTACGAGTGAGTCGGTCATCCCACTCTATTGTTAAAGTTTCATAGACTCCCAGAGGCCACGTTTTAAACCTCCACTAAAGCTGGAACCAGTCAGTTTAACTTTCTAACATCTCTAAGCAAACCACAGAAACGCTGCAGAGCCTCTAATCTGTGTCTGTGATGTGTGCTGCCCTCTGCAGGATCATGAGGGAGCAGCCCAGTGTGGTGCTGAGTGCAGCCCACACGGTCGCCATCCGCATGTCCGCCTTTGTCAGACAGATGGACTTTGCTATTGACTGGATGGCTGTGGAGGCCGGCAGAGCCCTCTACAGGTATTCTTCTTCTTCTGCTGCTCTTTTAAACTCTTCTTTGAGAAATCTGTAATCTTCATCATGACGCTGTTTTAATTCATCAACATTCATCAATAATTCATCAACTGTGTGAACTTTTCTCTGCACATCCACAGACAGGACGACCAGTCAGACTGCACCTACATCGTTCTGAACGGGCGTCTACGATCAGTCATCCGCAAGGCGAACGGCAAGAAAGAACTGGTGGGGGAGTACGGACGAGGAGACCTGATCGGAGTGGTGAGAACGAGGCTTCTTCTTTTCTCCCATCAGTCGCAGTGTTTCAGCCTGTATGCAAGAGTTATACAAACTAAAAGAGCACACTAACTGAGACCAAGACATACCGGAGACCAGAGTGCTCCGAGACCGAGACAAGACCAAGACCAAGGTAGGGCGAGACCTACACTAGACCAAGACATTTAAGGATCGAGACCGAGTCAAGACCAAGATCAAGACCAAGATCAAGACCAAGATCAAGACCAATGCAGGGCGAGACCAAGTCAAGACCAAGACCAAGGCAAGACCAAGACAGGACGAGACCGAGACAAGAAAAATCATCATCTTGTGTGCAGGGGGCGTGTCACTCACTAAGACCGTAACACAGGGAAGGTTGCGGCCGTAACCGGGTGAAAAAAAATGTAATTGAGCCATCTTGATTTAAAATCCGGAGTCTGCCCAGTCTGAGACCGGGATAAGAGCGGGTAAAACTGCTTTAGATTCCGAGACGAGACAGAGACCTTCTCGAGACCAAGACTACAACACCAATACAAACAGAATATTAAGCTGGAAGTGATGATAAAAAAAATGTTGTTTTATTTTATTATTTAGTTTTTTTTTGCGATCAGACCGAACCCCTCTGTCAACTGTAAAAACATACTTTTATATATTTTATATGTTTGTTGTGTTCTCGTCTCGGGTTCTTTTTTATTGATTTCCTCCTGGGATCATCGACTTCTCGACTTCAGGCCTTTGCACACTGAGTCCGTTCTTTTGGATCCTAACTGAATCTGACTCGACTTGAGTTGAATCATGTTTCTTAGTTCTGAAACGTCTCATGTTTTTTTTTTTTTTATCCTTTAGGTGGAAGCCTTGACCAGACAGCCGAGAGCCACCACGGTCCACGCCGTGAGAGACACGGAGCTGGTCAAACTCCCCGAGGGAACCCTCAACAACATCAAGAGACGATATCCTCAGGTCAGTGTCTTGATCTAGTCTTGAGTGTGTTTGTGAGCAGCTGAGATGGTGCTGATGCTTCATGTCTGTTCAGGTGGTGACGCGGCTGATCCACCTGTTGGGACAGAAGATTCTGGGGAACCTGCAGCAGGGCCGCGGGCCGTTCTCAGGTAACGTGGTCGAGTGGAGGGGTTTTATGTCCAGCCTACATAAAGAACACTCTTTACACACCGTGTGATCCTCTCTTTAGGTTCAGCCCTGACCAGCGCCGATGTCACCAACCCCGCCAGCAACCTCTCCACGGTGGCTGTCCTGCCAGTGTGTGACGAGGTGCCAATCAACGCGTTCAACCTGGAGCTCAGCCACGCCCTCAGTGCCATCGGTAGGCCCAAATGCTTCTGGGAATTAGAGTTCTTCAACCAAAGCCATTTAGATTCAGCTCCGCTAATGTTTGCTGCTTGCAGGTCCCACTCTGCTGTTGACCAGTGACATAATCAGAGAGCGGCTAGGAGCTTCTGCTTTGGACAGGTCAGTCAGATGATCAAACTAAACCTTGTTGTTTGAGGCGCTGGATAGAGCTTAAGGTTATGTCGGGCTGTAGTCCTTCTTGCAGCAGCAGGCGGCCGCCCAGAGAAAAAGGCGCAGAGCCCAGCATCCTTTTTCCGAGCACTGCTGTTTTTTTTTTTTGTGGCTGCTTTAAATGCTTTTGGTTTTCAGAAAGGTGCTGTTCACATCCTTGGACGCTCTTTTGTGCGATATCCCCTGTAATTTTGTCTCATACGTATTGTGCCCTGTACTCACATCCTCCTCCCTCCGTGTCCAGAAAAGTAGGACAGCAAACATCCTCCATTTGATGCTCGAAAAGCGAGCGATAAATCGGAATCAGAATAAGAATAAGAATCAGGGTTTATTGCCAAGTACATTTACACATACAAGGAATTTGACTTGGTGTATTGGTGCTAAACAATTAACAGGAAATAAAGCAGAACTAGCAACAACGTTAATAATACAGTTTAAGAAGCTATTACAATATATAAAATAGAATTTAAAAATGTAAAATATAAAATATAAAAAATAAAAAACACAAAATGTACAAAAGGTGCAATGTAGGAGCTGTGTAGTGGACTATGAGAAAAAATCTTAGTGTGTGTGACTACTCACAGAGTGCATGTAAGGAAGATACATTTTTAAAACGTACAGTCAAAAGAAACAGAGCAGTGCCGGTCATGGAGCGGCTGTTTTTAAGTGAATGTTGTCCGAGAGACAAGATGCACGTGCAGCACTTTTATTCTCAATGCTTCATCCACGCCCTCCATAGCGCACAGCCAGTTCTTTTCAGCCTGGATAAAAACATAACATGGACACAGCACCTTATAAAACAGTCATGGATGGGCCTCTGACTTCTCCTTTAAAAGCCGTATGGTTTCGAATTAAATGTAATGTTGTGTACATATTTCCTGTATTTTCTGTTTGTGTCTACATTTTTTTTTTTTTTTTTTAATTTGTAAATTTTATTTCATTCAAACAAACAATAAAGTTAAGAAAAACAAACAAACATATAATCTCAAATTTTGAATGTAAAGGAGCAGAAAGAAGACTAATCTTATAATATCTGCCCCTCTTTCACAAAGCATTAATTAAAACAAAACAAAACACTTTAATTCAAAAACAATAAAATGAATTGACTGCAGGCAAACACAGCCACTGGCAGTCCCATCGTAGGTCCTCCTTAACAATTCATTTTACACTATTTTAAATAAAGAGACTGAGTAAAAAACATGGATGGTCATTAAACTGTGCTGAAACCACAAAGCTAGTGGTGGCCTTAGACTTTATTGTCCTTTTCTAACTCGTTGTTTCTCTCCTCCTCTCTTTCCCTCCAGTTGGAGCAGATGCTGGAGAACACAGCAGTTCGGGCTCTGAAGCAGCTGGTCCTTCTGCACAAAGAGGACGGGCCGGGTCCCTCCAGGACGGTGGAGTGGCTCAACATGCGTAGCTGGTGCTCCGGCCATCTGCACCTCAAGTGTCCCCGCAGGGTCTTCTCCAGACGCGGCCCCAACAAACTAGTACGAAGCAAACGCCAACGTTATTTTTCATGAAGCTCCATCCTCACTGCATCATGGGATTGCCAGATATTCTCAAATTTGATGACTTGGTTGAAGAAAATTGATAATCCTTGCATTGATTTCTTAAAGCTAAGACAGAATGTTATTGTAAATACTAAATACTAGACTCTGCGTTCCATGTGCGTTCTCTGCAGAGGGAGGTTTACGAAAGGTGTTTGAGAAGACGGCAGACAGGCACAGTGATTTCTCTCGGCTGGCCCGAGTCCTGACCGGAAACAGCATCGCTCTGGTGCTGGGAGGAGGCGGAGCCAGGTGAGCAGGGCGGAGCCACACATATATATGTGACTGCAGACGTGTGGAGGGCAGTTTAGTGTCCTACAAATCAAACAGCAATCCACCAATTAATATAGTCCTATGTGTCAGTTATCCCCTTTATCCATACAATATTATGAAAGGGAGCCAGTGTAAAGAGGAGATGATTCGATGATTTTGTCAGCAGCTTAGCAGGAGCATTTTGAACCACTTTTTGGCAGCTCAGGGATGCTAACCCAGAACTTCCACCAGATACGTTAGCATTGCGTAGCACTGCGTTATGGAGCAGCACAGCCGGACAGCTGGAATGCCAAGACTCCTGCTGTAATTATACAGATTCAGTCGCTACTGTGCAAGACAATCCGATGTATGTTGTATAAAACCAAGTAAACAAACACACATAAGGTCATTGTTCTGAACGGTCAAAACAGAGTGTTTGTTTTATTCGGAAAATAAACTGGATGTTTTGATGTTGTTGTGGTCACAGACTTCCCGTCCTGCTCAATCTTTTTTGTGGTAAATTGATGCATGCTCTAGCAAAAATTCAAATTCAAATTAAAAAACTTTATTTGTCCCCGGGGGACAATTAAAAGGCACACAGAGCAGTAAATTAACAACAGTGCAGGTAGACGAAACATTTTAAACCTAAAATATAAAGTGTCAATTTAAATACAATTTAAAGCTTAATTTAACCTAAAATACAAAATATAAAAAGAGTAGCTATAAGTGGACAGTGATCGGACTAACAGATGTAAACAGAACTATGTGCAGTAAAATAGAAGCCTTGTGTATCTGCTGCAGAGGGCCCCCTGACGGAGCTGAGACACAGCGCAGCGGAGCGAGTGGAAGCACACACACTGAAGAAATAAAAAAACATATTAGCTATAAAACACCATGAAGCAAAAACATGTGAAATCCTCTCTCTCTCAGCTGTGAACACAACAGGCCTGAGTTTGGCTTCATGTCTTCGATGGTGAACGGAGGAGCGGTTGTGCAGGAAGATGCAGGATTATTTTTTACAACGTCTGATGTACCTGAGTGTTTCCTGTTTCCCCCTCCTGCAGAGGCTGCTCTCATGTGGGTGTGATCAAAGCTATGGAGGAAGCTGGGATTCCTATCGACATAGTGGGCGGGACCTCAATCGGCTCATTCATTGGTGCGTTGTACGCTGAGGAGAGGAGCGCCGTCAGAACCAAACAAAGAGCCAGGGAGTGGTCGAAGGTGCGACACACATCAGCGGCCGCTATATACTTGTTGAGCTAACTTGTCTTATTAACAAAAGACATGCTTCTAATAGATCTGTGTCGTGTTGTTGAACAGGCAATGAACTCGGTATTTAAGACCGTGCTGGACCTGACGTATCCCATCACCTCCATGTTCTCCGGCTCTGCCTTCAACACCAGCATCTATAAAGTGTTCCTGGACAAACAGGCCGAGGTGAGAGATGGCAGAACCAAGGCGTTCTTCATGAGAAAGAGTCACTTTCAGATTCAGATTCAGATTTTTTATTGTCCCACAAGGGGAAATTTGCGTAGCAACAGGAGCACACAGAAGACAAGAAACACAAGGACAACATCACCATAAAACATAAACCAAAACGAATAAAAAAATGTTAAGAAATTAGGCAACACAGCAAAATATAAAACCAAATAAAAATCTGTCAAGAGCCCATACCAGAATGGAATGTGGTTATTAAAGTGCAAAGTGGAGTTGTGCAAAGTGCAATTCAAGTGCAAAAAGAGCAACAAATACCTAATTGTTGTTTAATATATTAATTGCACAAAATGAGACCTGGAGTCTTTTAGGCTTCCTCACAGACATTCACTGGGGGGAATAAAAAAGTGTGACACTAAAACACTCTGCTTGTCTCCAGGACCTGTGGCTGCCGTACTTCAACGTCACCACTGACATCACAGCGTCAGCCATGAGGGTTCACCAGGATGGTAAGTGCGGCTGAGCTGACTGCTGTGGTCGCCTCCCATCTTTATCATATCACCGCTGTGATAGGCCAATTGTTTAGTTAAGCTTTCGACAGGGCCAAAGCAGAACATTAGTTACTGTTATTGTTTGTAGATTAGCATAAATGCACATAAAATACACAAATTATTTGCACGATTAATTGAGTCCTTCTCAGCAATTCTTAACACGCCCCAATCAATAATTCTGCTTCTAATGTGTGAGATCTATACTGACATCAGATTGTGTTCAAAAGGCAATTAAATGGCTAATAATGCGAGCAGCAATCTAAAGAACTAAAACAGCGAAGTAAACTTAAATCATTACTTAAAGGAGCAGTATGTCACTCTGACCTCTAGTGTTTAAAATGGGTACTGCGGTCTGCTGTCTCCCCCCCGCCCCCTCCTCTCTAGTCGATGCTCACACAGGTCACCATGTGGTGGACACTGAAGCTTCAGTGTTTATCCAGCTCCGCATTGGTCTGTAAACCTTTCTGTGTTCTAACCTCTCTCCATTTTTCAAAAGCATCTCCAATATTGATCCTAGTTTGAGCACGTTTCTGCTCGTGGAGTTTATTAGAAACATGCAGAGGCTTTTTAGGTCGGGTACAATCACTTCTATCTGAACCAGTTCTCTTGCCCGCTTCCATCACTGCAACACCTGTTGGTTTGACCTGATAACTGCTCTCATATCTGGCAAACTGAGGGGCGTCCAAAACGGCCGTGTGGGGGTGCCTTAAAACCGCCTACCTTCTCTGGTCCAAACAAATCCAGAGCATTCAGGACCAGAATCTAAAGTTAGAAGGAGGACATACTGGCTGCTGCATTGTTGTCAGAGAAGCCAGCACTTCAACATAGCATGTTTCCTTAATGTCTGATCATATAGTAAGGTCACTTTATCATTTCACTCACTACACATCTTACATGTTGCTCCCTTAAGTCAATATATCGCTACATTGTTGCGCTCACTTCATTTTGAAAGAGGCTGTAGGAACTGTAACAATAGACCTTTTCTTGTTGTAATAATATGAAACTGGGTAGAACACAAATTAAACTGGCTTTTAAAGGCGGGTCTACTCCACATTAAATTGAAGCTGATTGGTTCTCAAACAATATTCAAGCTAGTTTATATAAATGTACATGACAAAACTAAGCCATCAAAGCTAACTACAGTAAAATTTGAATATAAAGCTGTGTTTCCTCCAAGTGGTCCGCGTTTTGTGTTTGTCGGCTGTCAGACGGGGAAGTGAAAATTCTATCAACCAATCAACGGACTGCAGAGTGTCTAGCTCCGCCCTTTAGGGTCAGATCAGTACGCTTGGCACCCCAACAGAAGGGGAGCAAAAAAGTACAGACAGTTAGGATCGGTTACTTTGCACAGTGGAAACGGCAATAAACGCGTACTGTACTGAACTGAACCGGAGCGCTTGGTGGAAACGGGGCTTAAGTCGCACCAGTCTCACATTGCGCATCACGTGAAGACGTCGCTCGTTTAATTCTAACTTCAGTGTTTTTGTGAATTTGATGTAAATTAACGCTGATTACTTGATTTTAGTGGTTTGCAGGATAAATCCCTGCAGGGGAATAACTGAATGCTTCTGTTTGCATCTTGGGCATGTGTATGAACTAACCGCTGGAGCAAAGCCTCTCCCCTCTTGCTGTCCCAGTGTTCCCATCATCCTCCTCTCTGTCTCTACTTTCTGAACTGCTCATTTTCCTTCTCTCTCTGCCTTTATCAAACTCCTCTTCTTCTTCTTCCTTCTTAACTTGTCTTTCCAGTTTCTTTCGCTGAACTGATGAAGCTGTTTCATTATTTTCTTGTTCATCACATACAGTATGTGTCTTAAACTCCCAGATGAAGTTCCTCTAAGTCCCTTTAAGCTCTGTGTTCACATGGAGAGCTGCCCGTCTGTAGTTTTCACATTAGACCAAATAACCTGCGTAGCTGACCCCTAAACACTTACTCCAACAACATGTAGGATCCAGAACACTCCTCATCCTGCCGTCCCCTACTTCCTCCTCATTGACATCCCATGATGCTTTTCTCACCTCCTTACATCCACTCTTTGCTTTCTGTAGTTTTTATGGAGTGCTTTGGTCAAACATTTGTAGGGTGGTGTTCTTCAGAATACGTCTTTGACTCGGGTTAACAGAAAGTCGTTATTGTACTCCCTGAGTGTAGGACATATGGTGTCATGGCTTTATTCAAATGGTGGGCTTTACACCCCCTCCCCCTCTCTCTCTTTATTACTCTCTCTCCCTCTATCTTCTCGTTCCACCTTGCTTGTTGGACCAGAGAGCTAACTATGCTAATACTACTGCTTTAATATGTTAATATGCTTAATGAACAAAGACTATTGCATGGACGTTCATTTTATTTTGACAGGTCATTTATCCTCATAAATATCACAGACGTGTCATAGAAGTTCGTCTGAACTGTGAAGCTTGTAGCTCCGAGTCACAGATTGAAATGTGTTGATGTTTTAGTGTCTTGCGATCTGTGTGTGTGTGTGTGTGTGTGTGTGTGTGTGTGTGTGTGTGTGTGTGTGTGTGTGTGTGTGTGTGTGTGTGTGTGTGTGTGTGTGTGTGTGTGTGTGTGTGTGTGTGTGTGTGTGTGTGTGTGTGTGTGTGTGTGTGTGTGTGTGTGTGTGTGTGTGTGTGTGTGTAGTTTTAGAGCCCCATTCACATGTGCACAAAACTCCTGAAACCTTTCTGAAACTTTCAGGCTGAGCTGCATGTGTGATCACAAACATCCAAAATGTTCTCTCTGACTTTTTCCTTTCAGGCCCCTAGCAAATGAGGTCAGGGTGAGTTGATGTGTTAAGTGAGTGGGAAGGGCTTGATGAGGTTTATATCAAGCGACTGGGGGTGTATCTAGTGCGATCTCTAGATATAAGCATGTTATGCATACGGATTGTTCTGACTCATTTTGAAAGCAAATTTAAAGACAGGGTTGGTAATTTTCGAAAACTAGCATGATTTTGAAAGTAGCATTCCCTCAGTGCTCCGTCCACACCCACCACCTCCCCTCTGTGCTCCCTCTAAAGCTAAAGCCACGCCCTCTCACTTACATGAACGAGCGCCTTTGCTCCAGAAGTGGACCTCAGCTCATCTCTTACGTTGTGTAGAAACTACATCCTCTCATGTCTTATTCAGCGGTAAGTAAACTCACAGTATAAACTCCTAAAGTCATCGGTGACGCGCTTTGAGTGTGAGCTAGAGCACGCAAGAGGTAGAGAGCGTGGCAACCTCGTGGCAGACTTTGGTGGAAGTTTTTACAGACTTACAACTGCTACAGATGATGGATTTTCTTTGTTTGTTTTCAGAGAACATGAGTTACTAATTTCTGTCAGGACCTAAAGACAATTTCAACCAAAATCTTAAAAGGTGAATCTGGAGAAAATCACCAACACTGCCTTTAAATTCAGACTAAGCGACTCGTCTGAAGTTCAGAAAACTCTCAGAAAACAGTTAAACATTGAGCTCAATTCATTTAAAATTGTCTGCAGGAAAAACATTGTTATTCAGTTTGCCGAGTGTGGCTAACGATAGCGGTGCTTGCCTGTGCTATCACTACGACACAGCCTACATACATTGTTATCTAAATGTTCTAGATTAAAATATACGCTGCACCTTTGAAATGCTATACGTTCACTGAGCTTGTTTACATCAAGGCAGGCGAGCCAGAGGAGAAGGCCCCAGAGCCCCTTAGGGCTGCAGCCAGTCAGCAGCGGAGTTTATGTTTACGACTTGGATGGAATATTTGACCGCCATTGAGAGCCAACATGGAAAAATATTATTCATGCATTAAACCGGCTGAAGTTTTTACATCACGTCCTGCCTCATGAGACACACATCCCCCCCATCCCAGTCAGTCAGGGAGAGGCTGCGTCTGTATGTTTTACTCTTTTGGTTACATTTATCCATAAGCCACTTGTCAGCTGGCGAGCTCTGCCATTGGATAGTCTCCATGCACTGCAGCGACTGTGTAGACTCTACAGAGCCGCTGCATTGAGGGGCGGTTAAATAAGACCAAATAGAAAAGACCTTTGCACATCCGTTTCATATGACAGGTGGTAAGAGAGCACTAAGGTAAACTCCCACACACAGACTAACTTGTGTTTTGGTATTAGACCTTCATCAGGCAAACAGTTTGTTAAAATGGGCGGGGCGGGGCGACTATAGGAAGTCGCTACAAGCCTGCAACCAAACACCAATTAACATAATTTCACAAGTCCATCCATCCACCCATCGATTATCTATACAGCTTCTCCTGTTTGGTGTGTGTGTGTGTGTGTGTGTGTGTGGGGGGGGGGGGGTCATTGGGCAAAAGGCGGGGTTACACCCTGGACTGTAAGCCAGCCAATCACAGAGCTGACATATAGAGACAGACAACCAGCCACACTCACATTTTTTTATATTTTTTTATTTTGATATACTTTATTAATCCCCAAGGGGAAATTCAGGTTAACACTCTGTAATACAGAGACATGCTTCTCATACACATGCACAAACAGGAGCTGTGGCCATGCATTGGTGGAGATGTCAGAGTGAGGCTGCTACACACTGTGATGCAGGGAGTGCACCAGAGCTGTTGGGGGTTTCCGGCAGTGCTCAGGAAGTGTCCTGGTACCTCTCCAGCTCCCAGACCAACTCCCATATTCTGGTCCGCACTGGGACTTGAACAGGCGACCCTACGGGTAATTTAGAATCACCTATGAACCCAACGAGCATGGCAAATTGTTTTCCTGATGAAGGTCTAGTACCGAAACATATATGTCAATATATGTTTTGTTTTTGTTTTAGTTTTATTTTTGGGCGTTTTGTGCCTTTTATTGTAGAGATAGGACAGTGGATAGAGTCAGAAAGCAGGGCGAGAGAGAGAGTAGAGAATGACATGCGGGAAAAGAGCCACAGGTCGGATTCGAACCTGGGACGCCCGCTTGAGGTCTACAGCCTCCATACATGGGGCGCGCACACTAACCACCATCGCCCCCATAGCCAATATATGTTTGATTGCGAATTAGACTGTGTGCAGTGAGTTAACCTTTTAGAGCAGTTTGTTATGAAAGTGAGCTCCTTAAGGCCGATGAGTAAACATCCTCACCATTTGACATCATGCTCGGTGTGAAAGTTTGCAGACACGTCCATAGTCTCCCACTGTGAGCTACATGGGCGAATAAGCAACTCAGGAACATCTCAACAGCCTTCCTGAAATTTTCTAGAAATGTTCAAGTGTTATTGGCCCCACGCTGGAGTTGACTACATTCACCTGAAAACTACAGCAACAAGTTTATAATGTTTACAGTGTTTTCCCATTCCTCTCCGCCCTGGAGGCATGTCGCACTCTTCCTCTCTGTGTTGCCAGCATGTTCGTTTTCTCTCTCTCATCTTAAACCTCTCATTTTCAGCATTCTCCTCTCTCCCTCTATCTTTCTCTCTCTCCCTCTCTTTTCTCTCTCTCTCCCATTCTCTCTCTCTCTCTCTCTCTCTCTGTCTCTCACTCACTCTCTCTCTCCTGCTCTCTTTTCCATCTGTGACGTGGAGTCCGGCCCATATTTGATGTGTTCCTCCTTCTCATCTCCATTTCCCCGACAGGTTGCGTCTGGCGCTATGTTAGAGCCAGTGCCTCCTACACCCCCTATTTACCTCCCCTGTGCGACCCCAAGGATGGCCACTTGCTTGTGGATGGTTGCTATGTTAACAATGTCCCAGGTCAGATTTTTAAACGCCCGCTCACCGAAACCTCCCCCTCCTCATCCCTGAGTCCTCCCCCTTTGTTCCTCTCCCTCATAACTAACCCCACACTGACCAGGTGGACACTGGGAGCACATGGTTTGGAAGGAAAGACTTGAACCAATGAATTCCTTAGTGTCGATCCAAACAATAACTCATCTTATCTTTTGGCACACACCACAGAATATTCACTTTGTCGTAGGCTGTGAGGTTTCCCCCATGCATGTCTGGAAGTATATGGGTCGTAGAGAGATGCATGATGGTCTGGCTTTCTTCTGGTGCCGTCTATTTGCTGAAACCTTCCACTCCTCTTTATAAATCAATCACCTGGTGAAACATCGACGAGGTTAATTCAGTGTTTTGTAAATCATCACATTCTGCTTCTCTTTACATTTTAAAAGAACGTCCCAGCTCTTTAGAAAACAAGGTTGTGTAAAAGTTATGACTTGCAGGTAGCTCAGGGTGGCAGGTTATTTTGGATTCTGCGCTGTATCGAGCAGGCGGTCGGTGTGTAGAGCTCAGTGAAGCTGAAGGTCATGTCTCAGTGACGGTCCACACCATGTCAACATCACATCTGTCTCTTGCTGCTGGGGGTCATCGTGGATTTCAGTGGTCCTACATGTGTTTGTCCTTTTTGGTCTGAACTGCGGCTTGTTTGCCCCATGACGAAAAGCTCTTCTTTTTTTTTTCATTTCAATCACCTCCGTCTACAGGAACACGTTCAGTCTCTCCACACAGCTCCTGCCCTCTCCGCTGGCTTTGCTTGCTTCTATGTGCATGCAAGACACCCTGAGCCAATCTGTATACTTCTTTGACAGCATGATATACCTTTTTTCTTTTGAATTACATGGGAATAAGTGTTCTGGATCCTGCTGTTGCAGACTGTAGCTCCCTTTACAAACTGAAACAAGCCCATACATTTAAAGTTGCATTCCTTCAGAAGCAAGTTCTGCCTTTTAATCACATTCACTCACGCACAGTTGCACCCCTCGCTTTTCTCTGTGGTGCTCCTTATCCTTCCAACCCATGCAGCTCCCGGCCTGCTCCTGCCCCCTGCTGGCTCTGAGCTGGACTGCAAGACTGGGCAGGCCGGGTGCTTCCCTGCCATGTTCACGGTGAAGGATCTCCAAACATTGTCACAACATACGCCGCGGATATGAAAACAAATAACTAAGTTATTTTACAAAATCATTCACTTCTTCTCCTCCAAAGAGTTTCATTATTTTTATCTGAAATTTACCGTTTCTGTGGATCTTGCAAGAATTGTGGCGTTAAATTCAAGGGCTGCATTTGGGACACGGTTTGGAGATCCTTGAAGCCTTGGTGCTCTGTGATGGTTGCCATTTACTTTTTTACCTTACGCACAAGTCACACAGGGTCTCTGTGCAAGGTAATGAGGTGTGTAGTGGTGTGCAACAGAGAGTCTAAAGGTGGGCAGAACCGCAGTCCCAGCCTTTCTCAGGGATCGGCTTCTTTCCTCTGTCCGACCTCTCTGTGGCGACGGACTGCGGTCTGCGTCGACACTAACCTGAAACTTATCGCAAACATGATTGAGATGTTATCCCCCCTTCCTCCTCCTCCTCCCCCTCCCCTCCCTCCCTGGTGTGCCAGGCTCTCTGTGGCGCTATGTGCGAGCGAGCATGACCCTCTCGGGGTATCTGCCGCCTCTCTGCGACCCCAAAGATGGCAACTTGCTAATGGACGGTGGCTACATCAACAACCTGCCAGGCAAGTAGAGGTGGTACCCCCCCCCCCTACCCCACCCCCACCCACTACCCCCACCAACATATTATCCTCATCTCCATCTCCAGGTGGAGTGAGGGAGGGGGATGATTTTTAAGTTTTATGATATGTGTGGTAAGTATGTAGCTGTTGGTCGAATAAATAGGGAGGGGAGTTTGGTGTCAATGGAGGAGGGTGCTGAGTTTTCCCCATCTGAACCTATACCGGCTCAGACCATCAGATCCCTCACATTGATTCTTTACTGCACTTTAAAAAGAAACATATTTTAAAACACTTTACCAGACCCTTAAAGTTGTGTATGAGTCGATGGGGAAAACATCAGCGCCTAAAACTGTCCAGAGAGTGGGTTCAAGTGAACGGTACATTCAGACGATGTTTCACACAAATACTGCATTAAAGAGGAGCAATCTGGTATTTGTCTTTAAAACATCCTGGTGTCAAAAGTTCTAGGATTTTAAAAAAGGGGGTGGGGCTAGCAACGGTGCGTTCCATTTAGCTCTGAAGTCGGATGTCGGAGCTGGGAATGACGTCGCATCCGAGTCGAATCAGCGACATGGACGCCTCCAGGAGTAGCTTTAGTTTTGCTCGCTAATACCTCACGATAACGACACACAAAGAGATAGTTTGAGGGTGGGGAAAGTCACATGACAACATGTGCACAGATGGAACAGATGGAACTGGGGCGCTCCTGATGACGTATCCGACCGGCAACTTGGAATTTCCCGACCTCCGAGATGAAATGGAATGCACCATGTGCACAAGTATTACATCTGAAAAAGAAAAATTAAGATTGTTAGTTGTTCCTTTTTAGATCAATTGAATTCAGGACACCAGGGTGTTTTGAGATAAGTGTGTTTCTATTTCCGAGTCTGTCTCTGTGTAATTATCATTATAAAGAGTGAATCTGTACTGATGAAACCATATCTGACAAACCTCTGGAGTGATGTATTTGAAATCTCTTTTTGCTATGTGAATCATGTCCAATCATCTCCCAGTAAACACTCATTCTGGAGGTTTGTGAAACGTGGTGCCTGTACAGCCCAAACATTGATCCGATTAAAGCGAGCCTGTTGAAATCAGCGTCTTTCATTCCGGCCTCCCCGGAGACTTTGTGCTCCAGCAGCTCTATTCAAAGTTGTTCTTGGCACTCTGGATCAGTGCTTTGGGCTTTTTTGGATGTCGTCCTGTTTCCGCATTTGAATCGGCTTACACCACAAAGATGCTCAATATCTTTTTAACAGTAACATGTAAATGAGAAGGGTTACGACCTCCTGTGCTCAGTGACCAGGAAAGGACTGCATTTAGTCACTCATTGGTGATGAATATTTCAAAGTTAATTCGACAGTTTAAAGAAGAAAATGCATTTCTGTGGTGTAAGTCTGTTGTAAGCCGTGTGGTTACTAAACTGAAGGTTAAAAGAAGCTGTTAATATCCTGAAACAAGATGAATAACTCTGGATTTATTGTCTCACCATCTCTGCTGCTGGATTTTGTTGTGCCGTGTTTGTGTATTTGTGCGTGTGTGTGTGTGTGAACGCTGGTCTACACGTTACACGTCCAACAGCCGACATTGCGAGGAACATGGGTGCAAGAACGGTCATCGCCATCGATGTGGGTAGCCAAGACGAGACTGACCTCTGTAACTATGGCGACAGCCTGTCCGGCTGGTGGTTGCTGTGGAAACGGATCAATCCCTGGGCCGAGAAAGTGAAGGTACGGTGCAGCTTTTATTATTAAAGGTCACATATCCTCCTCCTCTTCTTCAGTGTAAATAAGTCTCAGAGCTCCTCAAAACATGTGTGTGAAGTTTCTTGTTCTAAATCCACTCTGATCCTGTATTTGATCATGCCTATAAACCCCTCTATTTCAGCCCTGCTCAGAACAGGCTGTTTCTGTGTCTGTACCTTTAAATATGTAAATGAGCTGTGTTTGACCACGCCCCCTCTCTGGAAGGGCTTGGGTGTCTCGGGCTTTCTCGCTCCATGTCCTATTGTTTACTGTGAGAAGGCAGACTCAGAGGGCAGAACAAACACCTAGCTGTGGGAGTGTCACCCACCTGGGGGAGGGGCTACTGCCCTTTGTGATGTCATGAAGGGAAAATCTCCAAACAGCCTGTTTGAGCACACTTTTTCTGAAAAGTGGAACAGGTAAAAGACGGCGAGGATGGACTTCTCATCATTGAGGGGTTTGTAGACAGACTAGAGACACATATTAGAGTTAGAGGAACATGGAGAAGAGGATTTTACAGAATATGTGACCTTTAAAAAAACACACCTGAGTTGTACGTTTTTTACCTTTCTCTCTTGTTGTGCAGGTTCCAGACATGGCAGAGATCCAGTCTCGGTTGGCCTACGTGTCCTGTGTGCGTCAGTTAGAGGTAGTGAAGAAGAGTGCCTACTGCGAGTACATCCGGCCACCGATCGACCGCTTCAAGACCATGGACTTCGGCAAGTTTGACGAAATCTACGTGAGTTACTTTTCTTTTTATTTATGAACATCCAGAATGTTCTACTATTGTGCGGTAGCAGTAGTGCTAAGGTTCTAATGTTTTTGCTCCACTCGGCGGCAGTACAAGAAAACAGACACTTTTTTTTAACTTTTCGAGCTATTGTGAACATACTTTAGTAGGTACATAGATTAAATATACGAACCCCAAAAAGGGCATAATATGACCTCTTTAAGACGCTGTTCATGGTGGAGGTACCAGACAAACAACTAAACAAAAACTGAGACATGAAGTAAAAGGATGGGAGAACGATGGAGAGGGAGAGTTAAAGGAGGCTGTAGGCTGAAGAGAACAGACAGTGTTCCTTGAGGATGACTGAGGGGAGGGTGTCCCAGACGTTTCAGGATGTGGTGTGTGGGTGTAGGAGGTCGGAGAGCTGCTGAGGGGCGTGGAGGGATTTAAGGTGGATGTAGAGAAATTTTGGACACATGACACATATTTAATCATTCTTTTATTCACTGCTTGCTTAGTAAAGCAACACAGACCATACCTAAACAATATCCATTCTAAATTAAATAATTAAACATCAAATAGTTTCAACTAGAATTAGAAAAACTAGATGCAAAAACAATAATTTTACATTTCATCCTCAGAAACTGTGATACTGCATCTTTCAGCCTGTCTTCTATGAGGCCAATACGAAGCTTTATTGAAGTAAAGTCAGTCTCATCTGCTGACAAAAAAAGTATTTTGTTTGCCTTTTTTTTATCCCAATGAGAAATTGAATGTTTTTATTATTATTTATTATTTATTTGTTGTTTATATTTAAAGGAGTTGCACACAATTACATTTAAATTCACCAGAGTTAGCTAATAGCTAATCTGCATCTGTTGCCCCTGGGCAGGTAAACAAATAATACATAGCATGAAGTACATGATCTAAAATAACAGAACATGTTAAAAAGTCCATTTGTGTAACATTACATATTGTGTTAATGAAATGTATTACTTTGACTGACAGATGCTGGCCTATTCAAAGACTGCAAATCTAGATTCTGTAATCTTGACCTTGTGGTATCTGGATCAGAATGATCTTATCTGAAAAGCCTTTGAAAAACCAGGACAAAATCTACAAGATTACTTTTTTAGCAAAAAGATAGCAAAAAAAGGGATTACAAAATCTGGATCACTTTTTTTTTTGAAAAACTGGGCCCAGAGGATAACCTTTAACATTCCTCATGTTTAATTAATGAAGTACTCTCTTTTGTTTATTTGAACTACAACAGGACGTCGGATTCCAGCACGGCAAGTTGTTGTTCACTGGCTGGGCTCGAGGCGACATCATCGAGAACATGCTGAAGGATCATCGCTCGGCCGACTACAATGAAAGCAAGAGAGCTGATGTGAGGCCATACACACACACACACACACACACACACACACACACACACACACACACACACACACACACACACACACACAGACAGACAGACTCACACACACACACACACACACACACACACACACACACACACACACACACACACAGACAGACTCACACACACACACACACACACACACACACACACACACACACACACACACTCACACACACACAGACACACTCACACAGACACACTCATACACACACACGCAGACAGACACACACACACACTCACCCACACACACAGACACACACACACACACACACACACACACACACACACACAGACACACACACACAGACAGACACACACACACACACACACACACACTCACACACGCACACAGACACTGAAACACACAGACACACACGCACACAGACAGACACACACACACACAGACACACACACACACACACACCCCCACACACACACACACACACACACACACACACCCCCCACACACACACACAGACACACACACACACACACAGACAGACACACACACACACACACACACACACCCACACACACACACACGCACGCACACAGACACTCACAGACAAACACACACACACGCACACAGACAGACACTCACACAGACACACACACACACTCATACAGACACTCACACACAGACACACACACAGATAAGCACACACACACAGACAAGCGCACACAGACACACACACACATAGACAAGCACACACACACTCACACAGACACACACACACAGACAAGCACACACACAGACACTCACAGACACACAAACATTATAAATGATGTGTTTATTGGCTGATGCATCATTACCATGGTAACCATCATTGCAGTTTGCTCCTCAGCTCATACTCTCAGTGTCTTGTCTCGTAGTCCTGCACGTGTCCAGGAGCCGACTTCACTGACCTCGCAGAGATCGTATCCAGGATAGAACCGGTCCAAAGCTATGTCGCTGCAGAAGGTGAGTGATCGCTCCACCACAGCTCGCTCGCACACATCATGTCAAAGGTCCTTGTTACAGACGTCTCCTCCATTAAATGTACAGTTCCTCTTTGGAGATCACGTCGGGTTTCATCAGTGTGATAAATAACAGCTGGTCGCTTTCACTCGGCCTGTTTTATTGAAATACAGTAGCAGGTGTCACTGATGCTTTATGGGTAATATCTGAAACCAGGGGCTCAGTCATGTGATAAATTCTCCCGGTAATGTCTCCTCTAAATCTCTCCGTTCAGCGGAGGAGTCGGACTGTCTGACAGAGTACGAGGAAGACGGGATGGACACGGTGAGAGAGGAGGAGGGGGAGGAGGAGGAGGAAGAGGCAGAGGATGCTGAGGATCACTCCCCCGGAGAGTGGGGCCAGAACGGAGTCTTTCAAACGGTAAGATTTTTTAAATAAACCCACAGCTGCTGAGAACATCCCTACTACAGGGTTTCTCAACATGAGCCCTATTCACACGGGACTAGACCTCGTGATTTAGAAATTACCCTAACCCCGGAGCCCTCTTTGGAACCGCACAACGGAGAAATACTATATACAGAGTCCCCCTGCACCTTTAAGAAAAAGATAAAAAGATAAAGACCCAGCTCTTTCATGAATACCTACTAACTTAATGATGATGGTCTCCATATTATTGATGATGATGATGGTTGTGAGGATGGTTTTTGTTTGATAACAATGACTTTTAAGATGGTTTCTATACTGATTAGAGCTCTCAAGAACTGCCGTCAATGTTGTGCTTTGCCTCTGTCACTTCCTGTCGGCACCTGTGTGTCCAATCAGACTCAAAGCTGATCGTTTGCTCTTACTGACATTGTTCCCTTTTTTCTAGATCCTTGCTTGTGTTGTACTTACTCTCTGATGTACGTCGCTTTGGATAAAAGCGTCTGCTAAGTGAATTGTAGAATTGTAGAAATACTGATTGGAAAGCGTCTGATCGCTAGCTGACGTTATAGGCCTAGCGTTACCACATAATAACTGTTGAGCCTGTTGAAAGATAGACAAATGTTCCTTACCGCATGCTGCCATGCATGTAATCCATCTTGTCATCTTTGGAGATTTCGCTCTTCTGACGGATTTCAGCTTGCTCTTTCTGCGAATGGGTCTCCATGCTGTGTAGCTAGATGAGCCTCCTGAATTTTCACCCAAAATGCTGTCAAAACTTTCATTTATAATTGCCAACGCAGTCTCCATAATTCTCGACTGGGGAAAAAGCAGAAAAAAGACGCAGAGAACACACAAAAAAACGACCCCAAATCACAGAGATGCCAATCCGCACGGGACTAATATTATCACATAACCTCTAATATAATTTGCGGTGGAATTTTTACTTTACAAATTACGCACATGGCAGAGTCGCATGGGATTAAGATCACAGACGACCTCCTGCATTCATTACAAATTACTATAGGTCTCCAGGTAATACTAGTCCCATGCGATTAGGGCTAAAGGTGTTTTTAAAAAATGTCAGGCTGTGTAAAAAAAAGAACAAGAGAGGACGTGCTGGTCGATTTGTTCTTTGAGATATTTAAAGCAAAAAAAGTTAAATGTGTCTTTTACGTTAGCTTATACTCAAAAGCAACCTTCAGAGATCAGCTGCACAGGTGACAACAATCTCTTCTTCTTCTTTGCAGGATGAGGAAAAATGTGTGAGACAGCGCAGGAAGTTCACCAGTGACACGTCTGAAGTCTCCGACTGCTGACAGCGGGCCGTGGAGGAGGAGAGGGAGTTCAAACGAGAGCGAGGGCCAAATAACGGGTCCGAGGCTGGAGACGTGAATACCACACTGGACTCTTTCAACTTCTGAGACTCTTTAAAAAGAACTTTCACTGGCTTCATCGTTTCACAAGCTGAAATACCACACACACAGGTTTCCTCTCATCGCTTTTTACACCAGACTGAATCATTGCCAGAATCCCTGCCTGCCAACTCCCGAACCTGCCAAAACCAGTTCTCAAAAAAAAAACACAACCAAACAGGGACGCTTTCGATCTTCACGTTCACTCAGAAGGACCGAGCCTCCGAGTCCCAGTCTGTGTCGCTGCTTCTCTCTTTCATCGCACTCCTCTTTTTGTTTTTCATAATATAGTCGATGAATTGATGACGCTCGCTGTTCAGACGAGTGTGAGCTGCCTGAGTGCTGGGAGGAGAGTGTGCTTTGATTTGTTGAAATAGAAACAGGAAACGCAGAGGCAAAGTCAGAAATGAATCAAATAGATCCGTTCAAGGTGGTTTAGTGTAGAAGTAGAGAAGTGCTTCCCAAATCTTTTCTGGGAGGGCGATATACCTCCACCCCCCCTCCCCGTAAACATCAACAAATAAACAAAAAAAACGCTATCAGACATGTCCTAACAAACTTCTTCTTATCTGTAGAATTAACTTTGAACAGTAGCTGCTTACAGACTGTAATCACGCCCTCAACAGCGCTCGCTGTAACAAAGTTCTGTCGTCCCTCCCCCTTTGTGTCTCAGACGTGCACACACACAGCACTGATGTGTCCTGCCGTCTCTGACTCATCACATCGCCACCGTCTTCCTCCTCCAATTACACCTCTGTCACATACGGGCGACCACATAAAATAAGTGTGGAAAAATACATTTAAACACATGAAGAACTCTCGCTGTAGCGTCGCTCCTAGAATAGGAGGTGGAAATGTCATAAGCGGAGGTAAAGCCTCCTACTTGATATGATATGAAGTGACATTAACGAGCGCTGCGACTCCGCGTCTTGAAAAACTTGTCGTGCGGCAGCAGAGAAGAGCGCCCGGTGAGCACAGCACCAGGAAAACAACAGGTTAGCTGCCGATGCTTTTCCAGCGACGGGCCTCTGAGTAATCGGGCCCTTACGCATCTTCTACATGTTTTAATCGTGAGAGCTTACGTTGCTTTTGATCGTTTTTCTCATCACTGAATCTGATACGACGTCTCTGAAGCTCGTCACTTCATGCTGTCGAGAGCTAACGCTAACCGAGTCGTCATATTTCTCTGGATTCATGGAAACATAACGTTCATTCTGCAGTCCTTCTGCACAATTGGCCCTCTTTGCCAGCAGTGCAGAGCTGACTGCATTGTTTTTGTTAAGCCTTGCTGCGCCCCCGACATAACCTCAGATCCCCCCCCCCCCCTTCCCCTCAGTTTGGGAATCACTGAAGTATAGAATCAGGCAGAGGAAGCTTTAGGAGAAATAGATTTTCACGTAGAATCTGAAGTAGACAGAACGGAGCTGGACCGGTGTTGTGACGATGACTGAACACTGAAGGATTTTAACGGCGGTTAAACGAGAACCAGAACCAGGACCAGTCGGAGACATTTAAATTTAAAGTCAACGGACACTAGGAGAGAAATAGCGTGATTTTCTCTCGGCGGACTAAAGGATAACAGAGGATGAAAAACATGTGTGGGGGTGAATGAGATGATTTTAAGTGTGTGTGCGCATGTGTGTGTGTGTGTGTGAGTGCGCGTGTGTGTGTATGGAGTTGTGTTTTGCGTGAGATGAAGACGATGCCTTTTACACCAGTGTTATAGATCCACTCACAGGGAGCCGTGAGTGTGGAGAGGAGCGACCACTTCAGCGACACTACAGACAGGTGTGAACATCCAGAGGTCACGTGCTGACCTCGAGGTTCAGGTGTGTGTCACTGAGTCTCAGCAACTGCAGATGAAGAATAATAAGTCAGAACGCTGAGTCACCCTTCACCTCGTCCTGTAACTTTAACACTGTAACTAACATGGACCTCTTCTAGAAATGTAAGGAGATTAAATAATGGTACACATGATGTTGATATTGATAAATCTGTATATGAGGTAGAGATTGGTGCATTGATGCTTCGCTGCAGAACAAGAGGACAAGGTTTCCCCTCTTCCATCCTGCTTTGTTTTATTTATGTATTAACTCGGCTTTTTAAAAACTGCTTTCTTTTCTGTTTTTTTTTTTATTGTGTTTGGGGAGAGGGTGTGGTCTAATTTAAATAACTTGGCTTTAGCTGTTTTGCACTGAAACATTTGAAGTGTTCTCTGCTCCGAGTGTGTTTGGTGATTGTTTGCCAACATCCTCGAGATGTCACGGGAATCTAAAGACTAAAAAAAAACCAGATGATTTAATACGCATATTGGAAAAATAAATAGAATATGCATCACTTCATGTGGTTGATACGTTTCTTATTCTTCTACCTTTGAATGCATGTCAACTGTTGAATGAATCAAAATCTGTTTTAAGGTCACAGAACGTCAAAACTGAACACAAGCTGAACACATGATCCTCCTCGTCAACCTCCAGAGTAAATAAGTGTCAGAGCTCCTCAAAATGTGTGTGTGAAGTTTTTTGTTCTAAATCCACTCTGATCCTGTATTTGATCATGCCTATAAACCCCTCTATTTCAGCCCTGCTCAGAACAGGCTGTTTCTGTGTCTGTACCTTTAAATATGTAAATGAGCTGTGTCTGACCACGCCCCCTCTCTGGAAGGTCTTGGGTGTCTCGGGCTTTCTCGCTCCATGTCCTATTGTTTACTGTGAGAAGGCAGACTCAGAGGGCAGAACAAACATCTAGATGTGGGAGTGTCACCCACCTGGGGGAGGGGTTACTGCCCTTTGTGATGTCATGAAGGGAAAATCTCCAAACGGCCTGTTTGAGCACACATTTTCTGAAAAGTGGAGCAGGCAAAAGACGGAGAGGATGGACTTTTCTCATCATTGGGGGGTTTGTAGACAGACTAGAGACACATATTAGAGTTAGAGGAACATGGAGAAGTGGATTTTACAGAATATGTGACCTTTAAAAAAACACACCTGAGTTGACAAATCTATTTATGTTGTTACATTAAAATGTGTTTTATTTGTTCCTAAAGTAACACTAGTTGGTAAACATTAAGAGACCCCAACAGATGTTTAGTTTGACAATTTCAAAGGAGCTCAGACGCCTCCGAGCTCCTATTTGCTCGCACCCTGACCTTGCCTGAAAACAAGTGATATCTCCAGCTCTACCTGAGCATCATACTTACTGCATACAAAACAGGCCTTATAGACTTGTGTTTACATGGAAGGTAGAAGATTAACCAAGCTTGAAGAAGCTACATTTAAACATAACGATGTTATGTGATCCCCAAAGTTTTCATCCTGATCCAACTTTTATGGAAAACAAATTCAAAGTTTTTGAGACATTTACCTGAAAACTATGACTCCATGAGTGCGTGTCTGCATCCAACAGTTGTTGACAGAATATATTTCTGAGTGAGTCAGAGTCTAATCCTTCAAACAATAGAAATAAAACATCACTGTAGTCCAGCTCGGACATAAAAGTGGCAGCAACCTGCTGCCTCTTAGATTCAAACAAGAAACCGAATTCAAAGTTTCAGCTTTAACCTTTTGACCAGCTGCTGAATGTGACAAGAGAAACTCATCGGTTAGAAAACGCAGATATCTAAGGCGCCAAACCAACCGGAACCTGAACATTCACAGGTACCTCAGATAAATGCACGCTGAGAAAAAAAGCAGGTGAGATTATTCTGTGTAACGTTGTGAATATTCACACCTGCTGACAAAACGCTGCACCTGTAGACTTTAGGGGTTAAACATGCAGACTCTAAAGGATGAAAACGCCTTGAATCATGGCAATACACTCCATTAAAGACGGAAATAAATAAATGTTATATAAACTCAAAGGCTCAGAAAACGTTCGTGGTGCATAGGATTTGGTGGTCGTATAATGCGATCAGATTGTTCCTCACTGGGACGCTGAGATAAGAGGGTGGGGGGGGGGGTGAAACACACGGTGTGAGCGCTGCCAGCTGTGTGCAGGTATAAATGGAGGAGTGTGTTCCCTGTGTGCTCTAACCTTTGCCCCTTGTCTCAAAATGAACGTGGTCGGCGTGTTGTCCTGCCTCAGCCTGCTGCTAGCTGCCGCTGCTAGCCAGGAGCCCAAGCCCTGCGGTGAGTCTCACACGTCACACGTCCAGATCTGTTTCAAAGATTTCATTTTTGTGCTTTCTGATGAAGCTCGACTTTGAATTAGATGTCAAACTTTATTCATAAAAATCGCCTTCAGACAAATTCAGTTGCATTTAGATAGTTGTCCTCAGTGTCTCCCTGTAGTCTCAGTGATGTAAAAGAAGGACACTGCTGCATCTTTGAATGTCTCATTTCACTTTAACAAACTCTCAGACAGCTCAGCTGACGGGTCCAAAGTCATATCCACCTTATGACATCACACATTGACCTTATGACATCACACATTGACCTTTGTTACCATTCCTTTGAGCTGTTTGACCTCAGTTTGGGATCCCTAACCACTTCCTGTTTCTTTGCTGAACTTCTTATCCAAACACTTAATGATAATGAGTTATCATTCCTGTCTTCATAATCAACAGTTACTGTTTGTTAACGCTACTTTGCATAGGATCCTGATTTCTTTAACATTTTGACCCCCCCCCCACCCAGTCGCTCCGGCCTTGATGAGCGGAGGTCTCACTGTGGTGAGTCTCGTCACACGTCTCACTCGTGTAATCTCTCCTGGATGGACCCACTCTCTGTATCTCATTCTCTCCCTGTGCTCTCTACCTCTCCTTCAGATGACTGTCGGAGCTATCTCTTCCACCGGAACAGTCAGCTATGATGCTATTGGTCAGAGGATGAGAGTCAAGACCATGGGGCTCGAAGCCAACCAGACCGCTATTCTGGACACGCTGATGCTTTTCAATAAGGTGTGACAAGCTGCACCAAATGATTGTGCAGATATTTGTTTGAACCATGAGGGCGCTGTCACAGACACATGATGGCTTGGAGACAAATTTAACAACCGATCACTGATTGATATAAGGAAGTTGTGATTATAAGAGGGTGAAAACTGAATGAAAACATGTTTGAGAATTTCATATCAAACATTCAGTTTCTGTCTTTGTCCTGTTTAGAAAGTCTACTATGAGATCAACTGGAGCAAATTCACCTGCAAGAAGAAGAAGCTGGACACAGACTTCATCCCCATGCAGGTTCCCTCTGATGCCAAGCTGATGGGTCAGGTGTTCATGGGCTCCTCCTCCTTCTGGGGGATGGGAGTGCTGACCAACACTTGGTACGGATATCTGCCAGGGAACGGTAAGAGCAGCCGCTGAAATCCTTAGCCCACACGCCTGCTTTTATTTTGAAAGAAGGAAAGAGTAATGGCTATAGAGGAGGACGTGACCGAGACCAAGTCAAGACCAAGACATTTAGAGATCGGATCGAGTCAAGTCCAAGACAGGGCGAGACCAAGACAAGACCAGGACACAGGGAGGGCAAGACCAAGACAAGACCAGCACATTTAGGGGTCGAGAAAGAGTCAAGACCAAAACCAAGGCAGGGTGAGACCAAGACAAGACCAAGACCAGGGTAGGGCGAGACCAAGACAAGACCAGGACATTTAGGGGTTGAGACCGAGACAAGACCAAGACCAAGGGAGTGCAAGATCGAGACCAAGTCGAGACCGAAGTGGTCTAGAGCAGGGGTGCCCAACCTTTTTTGAACCAAGATCTACTTTTAAAGTTGCCAGTCTGCCGAGATCTACCAGTCCACATTGTGAGCCATAGCCTTTACCGACAGCCTACAAACGCATTTAATACTCACACAACAAACAGAAAATAATATCAGATATAATAAATGAGAGTTCTGTAAAAAAATAATGCAATATCGACATACTTTTTTAAAAACTCTTATTTTAGGGTAGGCTACATTTTAATATTACGTTTGTATTTATATCACATATGTTTTTCCCTTAATTTAGTTTACAACAAACAACTTTAATCTGTGTGGAGATGTTCACAGACTACAGCAGGCTGCTGTGAGATGATGTTGCTTTTGTTAAATTAGCTGCAGACACGGTGAGAGTGAACGGAGTAAAGTCCAACCGACCGTTTGACCGGGTCACGTGTGTTCCCACCTCGGTCCGTACGATCACGGATCAACTGTGTGCTGTAGCACTAAAAGTAAAAAGTAAAAAGGTTTGCGTGGTGGCTGGCGCTCCAGTGCAAGTGTGTGTGTGTGTGTGTGTGTGTGTGTGTGTGTGTGTGTGCGCGTTTGCGCTGTATGTTGGTGTGCCCCGCGATGCTAACAGTCATGACAGCAGAGAGGAGCAGAGAAAAGTAGCTGCAGCTTCATCAAATGCGCTTAATACTCGTAGCATAGTTTCTATATATGACTTTTTGGTAAAACATTTACCCCCCCCGGTTTTACCTGCACGTCCTTGCGCATGCCTGCACTCTCTCTCTTGCGCGCGCTCTCTCTCTCTCGCTCCCCCGCTCGCTCTCTCGCTCGCTCTCTCATGCACGCAGCAATTTCATGAATAAATGAAAAATTAAATACAAACAGGTCGGAAGTATACTTGGGCTCCCAACACATGTATCGTGTGTGGGAAACAGTGCAATGAGATGAAATTGAAATCACTTTTCTATTTTACAATTGTATTTTATATTGACTAAACATCTCGCGATCGACTGAGAATCAGTCAGCGATCTACCTGTCGATCGCGATCGACTGTTTGGGCACCCCTGGAGAGGAACGATCTTGAGTACGACAACTTTCATGTAAAACACCATCTGATGATTAAAATTAAACCCTCAACTTTGACCCTCCCCTGTGACCCTCACCTGTGACTTGTGTTTCGTGTGTTCAGGCGTGTACTCAAGTGTGTTCACGGAGATCGGCTGCGTCCCCATGACCTTCTCGTCCTACACTCCTGAGTCTGATTGGATCACTGTCAGGTGAGAACGTGAGCTGATAACATACTGTTTTTTGTCTTCTCTAGCTCCTATGTCTGATATTGCAGATATTGCATTCTCACATAAAGTCATGACGGTGAAACAGTCTGTAATGATTCAGTTTTCATCTTCTATCTCAGCACCTTTAACTGGGTTTTGGGGAACTCCAACCCCATGGACTTCTTCCCTCCTTTCATCTGTGCCAAGGCTCAGCTGGAGGAGACGGAGACGCCCGCCAACATGTTCGCCGTCCTCAAGTCTCTGGCTTTGAGGGACAAGATGGAGGAGTAAACATCTGAAGAGTGTCAGCAACTGAATCTCGGTAACAATGTGTAGATCTCAATCAATTGAGTGAGGCGAGTGCAGTGCAGACATGTCAGAGGGATGTATATGAATGTCATTTAGGACACATCCCCGTTTCCATCGTCATAGTGGGATTTAACCCAAAAACCCATTTCTTTGTATTTCAGGTTAAATGAAAACTTAAAATGGTTCTATATGAATATTTTGGGGTCGACAGTGAGAACTGCACAAGGAGACCTTCCTCTGTAGCTGCATCCCTGCAACAGCAAGCGCCCCCCCCCGTCAGACTCCTTAATAAAATAAATTAAAAGCATTGAGTGGAACTTTGTTGTTTGTTTGCAATATTCAAAACAAGCATGTTCAAATGTTCCCACAGTTACACATGAGGCATTTATCACTAGTCTATGAGGCAGTTACACATGAGTGGTGCAGTAATTTATCCTCGTCAGTGAAATTACCATTTTTTCAAAAGGTTTAAAAATTAAACTACCATTTTAAACTACAATCAAAGACTAATTGGTAATCAGGGTGTTTTATTTTGAAGGCAAGTGTTATGAGTGACATTGATGGATCTGAGCGTGTGTGAGCGTGTGTGTGTGTGTGTGTGTGTGTGTGTGTGTGTGTGTGTGTGTGTGAGTTACATGTCTCTCAATAACAGAGTTTAAACTTCCTGTCTTTAAACAAACAAACATTATAAAATGGAAACAATATGGCCGAGCTTGTTGGCCTTTCTTAAATCAAATGTTGGTCATGTTCAGCCAAATGAAGGACGTGGTAGGGATGCAGGGTCGCCTGGTAACCCTCTCCCTCTAGTAACCTGCAGTACTTTGTGTCTGACAGCAGATGGAGGCAGCATCTCTTTTTCTCATCGTTTGATTTATAATGAATCCGTCTCATTTGAAAGCCCTGAAAATACTGACACTGGAGGATCCAGCATGAGAACACTTTATTTTACACCCTGATCGACCATTTGGTGTTTATTAAACTGATCATCCCATCAATCAAATTTAATCTAAACAGCTTCAATCACAATTAAATTTGACTGATTCTGAGATGTTAAACATTTTTTTTGATTTTCTGCCCATATTCTTTCACTTGTTCCTGTGTGCACATTTTATGTTGTCATGTTTTATTTATAAATCTGTTATCCTGTCATGCTTTAAAGGACCAACCAGTGAGATGTGTTGAGAGTGAAATGATAAAGGTACCTTACTATATGATCAGACATTCAGGAAACATGCTATGTTGAAGTGCTGGCTTCTCTGACAACAATGCAGCAGCCAGTATGTCCTCCTTCTAACTTTAGATTCTGGTCCTGAATGCTCTGGATTTGTTTGGACCAGAGAAGGTAGGCGCTTTTAAGGCACCCCCACACGGCCGTTTTGGACGCCCCTCGGTTTGCCAGATATGAGAGCAGTTATCAGGTCAAACCAACAGGTGTTGCAGCGATGGAAGCGGGCAAGAGAACTGATAGATAGAAGTGATTGTACCCGACCTAAAAAGCCTCTGCATATTTCTAATAAGCTCCACAAGCTGCTCCTTTAATGTTTTAGAGTCACATAAAGGGGCCTCACTCAGACTATATGAAGTTATACATTATTATACTGGTTAGAAAAGCTGCATAGAAGAGGATATGTCAGAAATATTGAGGCTAAATCCTCAAATGAATAGTCTGTTGTCTACTAGATGATCAGTTTCGTTCATGGCTCAAAGGAGACATTTTTACTCATGAATGAAAAAACATCCATTTTAAAGTCTTCCTTTTTTTGTTTTGTCTCAGGCTTTATTTGAAAACTTCTTCATTTGCTGAACCACTCCGCTGTGTCTGCTTACAGTAATGGCTGACTAACCCACTGCACATCAATAATACCACTGTTATCAGAGCGCCTTCTCACACGGTCCTCCTTCAGGGCTTTTGTGATTCATCCTCTAATGATAACGGGAAGACATTCAGAGGTGGCTACCTAACCCCGCTGTTCAAAAAACGACTCATCTGTCCTGTGTGATTAGAGAGATGAGAGCCTGCTATGGAAGCATTAGCAGTGATAATAGCCTTGCTAGTCTGTCTAATTATCCGTCTAATGGTTATTTAAGCGTGCTGGGACTTCAGCGTAGACCCCGTAAAGGGAAGAGCTCAGCCTGCGTGTGACGTCCATGTTACGAAAAAAAAGGCAAATTACATCGCCGCAGACATTTCTACCTTCATGTTTAACGGAGCTGAGATGTAAAAGTGGGAGACGCAGATTTGTTAATTTTGTGCCTGACTGCAGGTCGATGTCAGAGTCGCTGGAACAGTGTCGTTCATCTCAAACTCTGAGGAGTGTAGAAGTTAAACTCAAAGAAATATCAATAAAAAGAAAAACAGCAGAGAACTTACACATAAAGGGAAGCTTTGCATAACTAATATTTCTCTTTATGGAGTGATTTTAGAAGCAGGGTGATTATACGCACATCTCATATTGTAAATAAAGGTAATTATGATTTGTAATCTTCCGTCGGGATGGTGAGACTCTGTAGTCGGGGACTTTATTGCTGCCATGTAACTTATTGTGGTATGAATTATACATTTTTAGAGAAATACTTATAGCAGCAGTATGTAACTATGACTCCCTAGTGGTTAAAATGGGTACTGCAGTTTAAATTCTAAACATTGTAGAGAGCTGTCTCTCCCACCCCCTCCTCTCTATAGTTGATGCTCACACAGGTTGCCATGTGGTGGACACTGAAGCTTCAGTGTTTAGCCAGCTCTGCATCGGTCTGTAAACCTTTCTGTGTTCTAACCTCTCTCCATTTTTCAAAAGCATCTCCAATATTGATCCTAGTTTGAGCACGTTTCTGCTCGTGGAGCTTATTAGAAACATGCAGAGGCTTTTTAGGTCGGGTACAATCACTTCTATCTGAACCAGTTGTCTTGCCCGCTTCCATCACTGCAACACCTGTTGGTTTGACCTGATAACTGCTCTCATATCTGACAAACCGAGGGGCATCCAAAACGGCCGTGTGGGGGTGCCTTAAAACCGCCTACCTTCTCTGGTCCAAACAAACCCAGAGCATTCAGGACCAGAATCTAAAGTTAGAAGGAGGACATACTGGCTGCTGCATTGTTGTCAGAGAAGCCAGCACTTCAACATAGCATGTTTCCTTAATGTCTGATCATATAGTAAGGTCACTTTATCATTTCACTCACTACACATCTCACTGATTGGACCTTTAAAATCAGCTTTTTGCAAATGAGGAAGATTTATGTGTCTGCTTCGTGTGAGTGCTATGATTGCAAATTCAAGCAGTCCCAGTGATTACACTGTTTCTCTTCCACAACTGAAGCTCCTGCAAATATTGTCTGATGCAAATTAGTGCATGGCACGCTGTCATCTGGAAGATTTAAGTGTCTTACAGAGCAGCTCAAGAGGAGTCGGCTCAGGAGGAGGTTAGAGGTGTAGCTCTGCAGCTGGAAATGTGTCATTTTGGGGACTATGAGTGAAAGAGGCAGACACATAGAAAGACTCAGACAGAGCACCCTGGGCCTGGTGGATGTTACCACTTCACTTACTTCAATCACACTCAATTCAATGACGATTGGGACATCTTGTGGGCAGCAGTATGTCAGTCTGTCTGGACTTGGGTTGTGAACCAGAGGGTGGCCCCCTGGAAATTGTTCTGGGAGCTGGAGAGGTGCCAGTTCACTTCCAGAGTACTGCCGAGGTTCCCTTCAGCAAGGCACCAAACCCCCCCGCACTAGCTCTGGAGCGCTCGCTGTGTGCACCCCCTCTCACTCTGACACCTCTCCATCAGTGCAATAAAGTGCAAATTGTATTAAAGGCACAAAGTAACAATCTCCTGTTGTCGGTCGCTGTGCGTCCTGTGGTTTCATATTCATGTTACAGAAGTGACCACGACTGAGTGATAACAGAATGAGAGTCTGTTCATGCTCCAAAAAACACCTCTCCTCATCACTTGACGTTACGTGCATGATGGACGATAGTCAAATTATTAGTAAAAAGTGTGGAGTGTACAGAGAGATTCTGCTGTTCGATGCCAACACCCACTCTGCACATACAAATATAATCCCTGGCATGTTTGTCAAGTTACCCAAGAGGAAAACTGTTTTCATTGTCTTTTATTTCGAAAGGTTATGTCACACATTTGACTTTTATTTGACAGCAGGAGTCTCCAACACCTTGCTCACCCGCTCCCTGTAGTTTGCAGAGACAAAATCCATCCACAAACCCAGATGAGAAGCCTATCAGCGATCAATCAAAAGGGGGCGCTCGTGTCAAGTCTTTCAGCACCTGCACTTCCTGCAGCCGGTGAAGCTGCTAAACATGAGAGGACGATTAATATCTGCAGGGATGTACACTCTGCTTCTTGCTCGCTTTCTCTTAAGCTTCATCGGTCTCTGTTCTCTTAGCCTCAGCCGTTGTATCAAACAGTACAGTACTAACTGGCTGCTTTGTAGCTGAAGGCTGCTGGGTGAACTAGAGTACACACGACTCATGAGGCGACCTCAGCCCGCTGTCTGATTTGCAGTAAAAAAGGGGATCAAGTTGTGCTGAAGACACGAGAGTGACACCATTCTCCATGTTGAAAGTAATTGTGCTAATAAATTGTTGGGTGGGGCCTGTTTCTATTCTAAATGTTTAATGATGAAATCGTGAAACAGACTGAGGATCATCTTAGGTTAGACTTCCAATAAGCTAGTAAGAAGACATTAGCTTGACTTGTAAATGTCAGACATATACATCTCTTCAACCTCAGAGAATTCAAATTTTCTTTTCAGTGTCATGAGTGGATTGATGAAAAACACAAAGAGGAGGTGGACCCAATTGCAGAAACTCATAGTAAGATTTATTTAAAAAAAAAAGGCTAAAAACAAAACTTACTTTAAACCAACAACTAGAAGTCAAAACACTAGAGCAGAAATCGACCACCATCCAACATAGACTCACATACAACAGCTAACTGACACAGAAGAGGACGAAACACAGAGACTAAATAGACACAGGGGTAATGAGACACAGGTGAGACTAATGACACAGGTGAAGACAATGAGGGCAATCAACACTGGAGGGAAACACACAGAGGAAGGTATAAAAACAAGACAAGAAACAGTGGTGACTAGCACTACAGCATAAATCAAGAACACAAATCACAGAGAACTAAAGAATGTAACAATAATACAGACTAGAACATAGAGGGACACCAGGATACAAAATATCACAGGAAACACTAAAGACTAATCTAGGAAACACACAAGGGAAACAAGCAACAGTAAGATGGACAGGAGAAATTAAAACATGGAAACCTAAACGCTTA